CCAAACAGCACATCACAGCAGGTCTCACTACCATCTTCCTTTTCACTCTTGCTGCTATCCTTCTATCACTAATCACCCAACACTCGTCTCTACCACTCTCCTCATCTGCTTTGTTTGTTGGTTTGGATAAACAGATCACTACAACTTCTCCTTGCGTGTCCATCTTTCATTTCATTCAACCTTACTAAAGCAACATGAAGACAACTGTAAAGTTTATAAGCATTTAACAAAAGACAGAAATCCATTAATCATAGGTTCTCACAAACTGACTGGATGGGGTCATTGTGTAATAAGCACACTCGTCATTCAACAGTCGTTTCAAGATCAAGGTCAGGAAGTACAAGAATACATCTTGGTTATGCATCTGGACACACCATCTACCATGATACCTTGGGTCATGGTGTTGGTATCATGGTTTTTTTTGACGTACATCGGGTTATGAAACCCAGAGTTTATATAACTGTAAACTCTCAAGTTAGCACTGGACGTCAGCTAGAAGTGATAAACCAAGTGGTGTTGGCTTCTCCACAGAACCATGGGAATTGATTATTCACTTGATCGTGGTGATAGTGACTTCTCCACCACACCACAGGGTCAGTGCTATCGCCTTGTAGCAAGAGTTTGAATCCATTCGAATATTCTCCCGTGTCTGTTTAGTTGCTCCTGCTTCCTCTCACAGCCCAATGACATGTTAGGCGATTCTAAATTGGCCGTTGGTGTGAATGGTTGGCTATATGTCTGTGTTAGCCTTCAGATAGACTGGCAACCTGTTCAGCGTGCACCACACACCTTTGCCCTTTGCTAGTTTGAATAGACCAAAATCTAACTGTGACCCTGAATTATATTGGAAGAAGAGGATGGATGAAGGTGAACTTTACAGGCTCAAAGTTATTATGTTGGTTTTACTGTTATTCAGTTCTTGGATGATGTTTTTATGTTGCTATGCAGACCCAGTTACACATACGCGTACAAGGACACACAGCACTAAATATGTAGTGCTATGTGTCCTGGAAAAATTCAACCTTTGTAGCACTTTTATAAACTAATAGTGTTTAGATGCACATCCATCACCATGTCCTGCCATGAATACCATGATTTGTGCATGGTATACGTTAGGGACAGCTATCGCAACCACTTAGCTAACAATTGGTGCTTTTTTCCCTTCTAGAACAAAACCCAAAGTTTTTACTTTCTCAATGATTATCTGCTTGTCATTTAACAGATTTTATTAGGTGATTAATGTAACTTTAACTTCAAAAAAATACTGTCTTTGGCCTACTTTTCAACATTTCCATCTGACTCATTTTAAGATAAGGTTCTGGTAAATGAGATCATTAATATGCATGGTAGGCTACATAATTATACCATGCTAAAATGCTGAGACTAAAGCTGCATGCCTCAAGAAAACAGTCACAATCCTCAGCTGATGACCCTTGAGGAAGAATAATGAAACAAAATTATTACTGCATCAGAAAATAACCCTATTTTGATCTTTAAGTTACAGTTAGAGGCCATCACAATTTAAGTGATAGATCTTATAAGCAAGAACGAAAGCACAACCTGGTTGAACTAACCATTCATGTTCCAAGTCAAAGCTACTGTTCGGATTTCAGGTGAGCCAGGAGAGCTCTTGAGTTCTATAATTTTACAGTCATTGATATATGATATGATGTAAATAAAAGAGTATAAAGATTCAACATTTGCATGTGGCTGAAAGTCAATATTACATATAGTTCAACATACTGCTCTTGCTCATTTAAACACAACACTTTACTACACTTCCTGCATACCTCAGCACCTCCAAAAGCTTTCTTGCCATTTTCCCAAGTCAGATATTCTCAGAGGAGCTTCCCTGCTGAGACACAGCCACACTTTAAAGCTTCATACCAGAACTGAAGACTATAGCAACTTTTGACATCTCTGTGACACATCTGTAAATATTCACTATTTCCAGAAGAGGCTGGCAAGTTTCCACATGCTTGACATTCTATGTCCATCATGGATTTCCTCTGAAACAATGCTTCCCAGACTTCATAGGTCAACTATCAGCCTTGGATACAAACAGGATCCCAAATATGGGTCACAGCTTTCTTTTTCTATTCTTTTCTACAACAAATGTTTTCATGCATAAGGATTTCAAATGGGAACTATCATTTTACATCTCTAGTATGTTTACTGACTTCAGTAAATTAGCTAAATTTTGCATATCTATTAAAACACTTAAACAATATTAGAATAAATCATTTGTTTTTGGTGTCACAAGCCATGAGTGCATGCATTTGAGGATTTGGGCAGGTTTGAGCTGAAAAGTAGCTCTACCTTGTAGCTTGCATATAAGCAACCGTGTGTCATGATTAGTGTGGAGAATGACTTCCTACCTGGTGTAATTTCTTACTTTTTGTGAAAATGTTAGCTTGAACCCTTTAGCATTTAGCTAACAGTCATTATTTCTTAGCACTTATCTATAAGTTGACATTCTGTCACTGTCCTTATTTATTATTACTTGGAATCTCCTGCTCACCTTCCCCACTTTATATGTAAAGTAATTTAGTTTTCTAGGTTTGTAGTATTTGCAGGCTTCCCAACACGTTAGGTAACATTACATCCCATCCCATCTTTTATCAGTTTGGTTCCGACTTAAAAGTGCAAACAGGCCAAAAGTATTTCCTCTTTCTCGCCAATCCTGACAGCTATACCCAAATAAGGAAGGAGGAAAAGAAGTACATCTGAGCCTGAAATATGAAAATAGACAAAACTGAGCAGCCATAATACTCTAAGATGACTTCAGATTATAACATCGGGCTCATCTCTGCCAAGCGCTGCCTCGCTGTAAATGATTCAGTTGTTCCCAGCAGCAAGGAGTTCTGCAGTGTTTCCACATTAGGAGCTAATCCTTTTGAAGATGAAATACCTTCTGAATGTATCTCTCACTTGGCTACAGCACAGTGCCAACAAGGATCAAATAGACTGCTTTGTTCTCAAGTAATAAGTCATTGAGGGGATATGCCAGAATATGTATGATCACATTAATTGCGTGGCTGCTAAAGTAAAAGTACTTCCCTCTATTATCTCAACATGCCACAGTACTGAGCAGTCAACAGTTCTAATAGTGGTTTCCCTCTGCCTGGCCAAAGAGGCCCTTCTATCACCGCTCAGCAGCCACGGGGCACCGCCGGCATAATAGCAATCTCATTCACCACCACCCAGAGCTCAGCTGGCAACCCAAACAGGCTTTCCATCATGACTAGGACACGGCACAAGAAGATATTTAAATGGAGTGGACAATTAAGATGGATCAGGGTGTTCAGTATTGGGCTAAAACAAATATGCAAGGGGGTGCATTTGTAATAACAATGAGAGAAGGGTTGCATTGCTAATTTGTTTTGACAGGGAAATGACTAACAAAAAAAAATATGTGCAACATTACATTTAGATATTATATACTGTAGTTCTTTAAAATGCTTCAACAATAATTCTGTATAAATAACAGAAAAATACATTTCTGACTGGCTTGTAAATGAAATGCTATTGCTGCGTTTTTTCTTTCATTTTTTTTCCAAAATGCAAACTTTCGATTTAAAATAGATGACTCTGCAGAGAATTTACCACTATACCACAGACATGTTGGTTTTCAGGAGGCAGAAGTGACCCTCTCTGGATGAGACCTTGGTTAGCAGACTGGATCTGTAGTATGTTAGGAGGCAAGGCACAGACATACATATTTGCTACAGTGCTGCATAACAGAATAAATAATGTAAGGTTTCCACTTGGCAAAACTGAAGAAAAAAACTTTCTTGATGGTGTTAATGTCACAGCAAATCGTGTTATTTGTTAAACTGTCAAACGATTCCCCAGAAGACACCAACACCACAAACCCAATGATGCGGTCCAGTTCAGAGACTCATATGACTCAAGCAGAGGTGGGTGAGTGGATCCAAATATCGATAGTAGCAAAACCAATGCTGGTAATGGATTTTTTCCTAGAAAAGAGCAATATTCTTTAAACATGCACTAAAAAATGTCTGAAGCTTTTTGTGTTGACTGTCATATCACATATTCATATTTAGCCTATAGAACATTTAAACAATAGAAGTTGACCCAAACTGCTTTAGAGACAGACACATTTCCCAAAACCTGGTTTTAAAATACATAAAAAGCTGAAAGATGTGTTTTGTTGTGTTAACTAATTATTGTGGAAAGTAAAAAGTCATATTGATTTAGTGCTCATTAAAAAGTGTTCAGAATTTCTAAATTCATCTCATTAATCATTACATACTACTCTCTCCTACATGAACTGCCTTTAGACTCTATCCGTAGAGAGCATGCTTTTCTCTGTGCCAGCCTGTAAACATATATTTAATGCTGCTAAACTTGGGCATTTTAACAAGAGAGTCCATGGAGAGCCCTGTTTGGAGCCAGCCTCCAGTTGCCACTCCAGGAACTGCAGTTTCTGGCACTTCCATGTTGGTTTTTATTTTTCAGCCCCAGTGGTTGCTACTTGATAATAAACTTAGGATTACATTTACTTTGGTATAAAATAAATGTCATGTAAGTCATGCAAATATTGCAAAATTTGTATTTTTGTCTATAATTTAAGGTGTCTGCTTTGGACTATTCTGTCAGTTATTTTAATAAATACTGCATTTATTTGCTTTAGTGTTCACTTGGAGAACAGGAGATTTCGAGGGATGTTTTGGCAAGTATTGTATGAAGAATAGAACATTTTATTCTTGACTATCTAATAGATTGAGTTAGCCAACTAAAAGCTTCATTTGAACATTTTAACTATAACACAGGTTCTCATCAGTGGATTGAGCTTTGATCAGTTTCAGAATATTAAATTTCAAAGTGACTTTTGGGCAAAGATAGATGAGAAGCCCTGTTCATTTCTCAATTAATACAAAGAAAAAATGCTGCTGAGAATGTCGCCTTCCTACTTATGAATGAAACTAAGAGATCATTTCAGATATTCCTATAGGTACAAAAACCAGAAGAATGTGAAGAATATTACACATTTTTGATCCAATCACTCTCACGGAAGAAAAAAAAAGTAATCTAAACCTTCCTAAGTTCCTAAACACATTATGATGGTATAATAATAAATATCAGCTTTGCAGACTGACAGGACTTTAGAGAATTTGTTGAGGGCATAGTTCATATTCAATTAAGAAATGAGTATGTAGCCAGTATGGTGGAATAAATAAGTCTAGTACACACTAGTTCGTACAAAGCCAGATCATTGGAATTAGAAGAGATAATAAGGACTAAGTGATGAATATGAGTCACTCAAGCTGCACTGTGAACGGAGGCGTGAAGCCAACTGTAGCATGCAGGCAGCAGTACTCTCCGCTCTGCCAGCACTGGGAAAAGGGAGGATTCAGAGATCCGCAGCTCATGACCGCCTTCAGTGTGTGTAGCCTGATTTTTGTGGCGTTACCGATAGCCTTAAACACCTCCAGCAGCATCACTCTGCTGTGGACGGTCGCTTAGGAAGCATCGATTATTCGGCGTCGTTTCTGGTCAGGATTGTCCTGCAGTGACCACCGACTGACTGCTGGACTGCAGCGAGCATTTGAACCCCCATCAGTGGTGCCCAGCGTACCCCGAGAGCTCAGACATGCCATCTGTGTCGACTGGAAACGTTGCGGTGTGCTCCGAAATTCGCTTTACTACTTGAGGGAATCAAAGTTGGTGCAATGGAGACTTCCGGGAGTGATGCGGCGGACGCGTACTTAAGAAAAGCCGAAGACAGAGATTACGATCTTGAGCATCTGCCTCCACTGCTGGAGGATGAGGTGAGAGGGAGCGGGGTTTTTAAAATGAAGAAGTTATAACTAAACATTGGCGTTTGTTTGTTTTAAAAAGATACCGGTGTCGATTGCTTGGAGCATCCAAATGATATGAAACAGCCTCTTTTTGTGTTTCCTAGAAAGCTGCTGGTTGAAATTCTTAATCCTCTTAGTGGTTAAAGTCAGCCAGAGAAACGTTCTTAGGGCCTTAACATTTACGATGATTTAAGACAAACAAGGGATCAGAATCGACTTGCTCACTGTTTAAATGCGAGTAAAAGTCAAAATGTACTCCAGAAATAATTTTAATACCTAGACTTAAAATGTTTCAGGTTTTATCTGCAAAACAGTCTAGTATATTTAGAGTAACCCATTTCCTGCCAGGATAGCAGAAAATACATCTGGAAGGGAATGGGTGGAGAAGGGTTTGGTGTTGTGGACGGAATTTAATATACTTGTTGACTTTTTTTTTCTTTTTCGGACACACTGGGTTATGTTGCATATCTGACATATCTGTTTAAGGTAATCTCTCTGCTCTATGGTGTGGAAGATAAAAAACAACTTTTGGAAATTCACATTAAACCAAATTCTCAATACTTTATATAATGGTACAAGACAGCCTTCCTAAAGAGTGCTTCCAAAGAGCTCCCATTGGGAATGATTGAGGATGCCCACCTTATGTGTAAAATAAAATAGGGTTCCAAATTTAAACCATCAGCAGTCTTTAGTGTTTCTTTGTCAAATTGAATAAACTTTTTGTATTTTATTTATTTTTTAAACAGAGTTTCAAATGATGCATGATGAAGGAATACCATGTTCTGAGGATTTTGTTTGTTGCTGTTATGAGCACTTCTTCAAGTGCCAGAATTGAAAATTGTCCTCCTCTCCCTCAAGTACGTTGTCTCTGTGTGCATCTTTACACCATAATACAGGAGAACAAGCCCTCTCTTTTGCCTTTCCTCCCATTACTGCAGTGCAAAGACATGCACCACACCAAGAGCCTCACCAGAACCTTGAAAATCAGAGGCAAACTTATATAGGACAGCACATTTAACTTGAGGGGGGTGAGAGAAACTAACGTTCCCCTGCACTGTTCTCAAGGGAAACTGTCTATTTATGGGGCGGCTGCTGCTGCTGCTGCTGCTTGAAGTGGGACTTTTCTGTCCTGTAATTTGGCTCTACCCCACTCGATCACATCAGTATGCTTTGTTCGCAATCTGTTGCAACTCTGCTGCACCTACAAGACAGTCGTAAATCAAAACAGATAGGCCCTTCTTGTGCAATCAAAGATAAAGCAGTGATTGTCAGTGAGAGCAGAGCTGTAGATTATCAGAGAACAGAAGCGTTAAGACCTTCGGAGTTAGAGAAAAATGAAGCTGCTGTGATATAAATACTGTCATGAAAGAAGAAAAAAAATCGTCCATGGTTGTTAAAGTGCTAGATATAGTGTGACAATCACTTCTTTATGACACCGCCTCCACGCACACACACGCACTCGTTCTCCACTTCCACTCTTCTGCCTGAGTTAAGGCCAGCTTTTGTGTCCACTTGCAAACTGTAGAGAAGTTCCTGTAATAATCAGACCGCAGCATTATGCTTAATGCTTCATGGAATTTGTGAGATCACTGCGTCTGCTGGGGTAAATGGGGCCAGTGGAACACAGACGATGCAGTGTGTTGCTACAGGTCTGTAGATTCACTCCATGGAATTAAGCGTGCAGGATGCTATATTATACCAGATATTTTCAGCTGTTAGCGCTAATGAATGAATGAATGAAGGCAAACATATCTTGTAAAGCCTTCAACTTTAGATTATGTAGCGTCTTAGTTACAGTCATTTGTAAGTTCGAGTTATCTTTTTCAGTGTTAATCAAGGCATGAGTCAGTTTCCAAGTAAAGACCCGTAGGGGCATATAAACACTGAACATGTTTACGTGGCAAAGATTTAGTTCCACATAAAAATGAGACTTATATTGTAATTATTACAATGAGTGTCAGAGTGTCCGTTTTTATTACAGTCAAAGTCAAATGTAGTCAACGTTTGTGACGGTGAAGTCAAGCCTGGAAGCCTTTTTGTGGCTAACAAGCTGTGCCAGGCTCCTGCAGATACATCCTGAGACAGAGACCGGACACTCAAAGAATCAAACTGAATTTCTCAGAGACATCTGCAACAGGAAACCCTTTTTAAAAAATCTTTATTATTGGGGTAAAGTCAGCAAACTTTTTAAAGTAATCCTTTAAATGCTTAAAATAACAGAAAACAATGCCTCACAAGATGTCAGTTGAATGGTAAGAAGACTGGTACCTACAGTACCAACAGGAAATGTGTCATTCTGGCTTAAAAGCTACTTTTCAATTCAACATCATGTTTTGGTTATTGCTCCTTAATGTTAATGCATCAATCTTACCTACATGAAGGACCTGTTGAGGTGGGAAAGTTCACATTGAATCTGAGTTTAAGATGTATAAGGTAACATCAAAGTTTGGAAGCCAGCCATGATCCATTATCACCAGCCGACAAGCTGGATCCAACCTGTGAATCAAATTAATGTGGCTCCTAATATAGTCCAATTTTTTTTTTAAATTTTGATTGGTTTTAAGTCTAGGGTTCCATTTCTATAAAACACACTCGTCAAGGTATTTAATAAATTAAAGACTAATGTGTACAGAAAGTACAATAGAGACCATAAAAGAATGACAAGGGGTTGAATTTCAAAACCTGCCATGTCTCTGCTATGCAAAGCCAAACATTGTGAAAGAAAATAAAATAATAAATGGCTGCTTTATGAGTCTCCTTTCTTTCCAAACGTCTGTGAAGCTTCTTAGTCATCCAGGTCATCGTAGTCTAAGGAGCTTGGAAAGAAAAGCGTCTGGACTTCTTTAAGTTGCTTGAAGACGTTTCACCTCTCATCCGAGAAGCTTCTTCAGTTCTAGGGTCAAATGGTGGAGAGTCCCAGATTTAAGCCCATGTAGCCAGTGTATCAGAAAAACTCAGGAGAGTCTTCTCCAAGCACGACATCCCAGTATATTTCAGACCCAGCAACACACTCAGACAGAAACGGGTTCATCCCAAAGACAAAACTCCTAAACAGAAACTTAACGATGTGGTGTATGCTGTACAGTGCAGCGAGGAATGCCCAGACCTCCACATTGGAGAGACCAAACAGCCACTTCAAAAAAGTATGGCATAACATAGAAGAGCCACCTCCATGGGACAAGACTCGGTGGTCCATCTGCATCTAAAGGACAAAGGTCACTCTTTCGAGGATGTCAATGTACATATTTTGGACAAAGAAGACAGATGGTTTGAAAGAGGAGTAAAAGAAGCCATTTATGTCCACTGTGAGCGACCATCTTTGAACAGAGGTGGTGGTTTACGACACCAACTCTCTGCCATCTATAATCCAGTTTTGAGTTCCCTCCCCAGACGCCTTAACGCCCACTCACATCCTGGGCCATCTGACCTCAGGAAATCACATGATAGCGTGGGGCCAGGTTTCACAATGAGCTCACCCGAAACCCTGGCTGATTGTGACCTACACTCGTTTTCACACCTTGGCTCATGTGATTAGGTAGAGGATCATTAGGGGGCCTTTGTCCCTCTCGGTGTGTTGCTCCCACAGAGCTTATCTGGGACTCTCCACCATTTGACCTTAGAACTGAAGAAGCTTCTCGGATGAGAGGTGAAATGTGTTCAAGCAACTTAAATAAGTCCAGACGCTTTTCTTTCCAAGCTCCTTAGACTTTCTTTCCAAACCTTTAAACAAAATGTTTTTTTTTAAATAACTATCATTTGCGCCATATTTCATGTTCCAAAAATCATCTGTCATGAATTAAATAAGATTTAGATGCAAAAGCAAACATAATCTTTATGTGTTACTTACATTAATCGATCGATGGATCAGTTAATATATCATAATATCCTTAGGAAGTGTTGTGCACAACCACTGAGAAACTAAATACTAATACAGAACCATATTTTTTATACACCAGTTTAAAAATTACCATACACTGCCTCAAGGGGCGGGACCGCGCTCATCCTTAGTGGCTCCAGCAGACTGTTGATCTGTGCTCCTGTCCCATACGTGAGGCATTCGCCAATCCCTCGTCTCCTTATTTCTTTTTACTTTTTTTTTTTCTCCTGTTTATTATTATTGTTATTTTTTCTGTTTGGTTTCTTTTTTTCTTTTCGGGTCTGGGCGGAGATAATAACCCCATACATATAGACTATTTTATTTAGCCATTTATAATCCGAATACTTGTTTTAGCTGCGGGCGGGCAGCTATTTCACGTTACTGATGAAGAAAAGACTCGTACTCTGGTCCAGCATCTTTCTATGTCCAAGTTGGAAAATTTGCTTGCGCCCCCTGCTGGGCGTTGGAGACCTTTGCCTGACCTCCATACTCACTGGTTTCTTGACGGTTCTGTTTCTTGTAAATAGTTTTTTGTTAATTGTTAGCAAAGCAGGACGTTTGTTTTTCTATGTGTATTTTACTTGCCACTGGTGTTGTAGAGCAGTGTTTGGGAGCCCTACATATCAGCTATGCTTTGGTCACCGGTGGGTTCCATGCTTATTTCAAATATTGTATGATAAGTGATAATTCAGTGTTAAATGTTTGTTCCTGGAATGTAGGAGGTATACATAACCCTATTAAACGGAAGAAAATATTGAGTTTTCTTAAGAGGGAGACTGTCCATGTTGCCTTGTTGCAAGAAACTCACCTGTCTCCTCAGGAGCATCTAAAACTGAAACGTGATTGGGTTGGTCAAGTTTTTAGTTCCTCCTTTACGAGTAAGAGCCGCGGTGCAGCCATTTTAATACATAAACACCTACTGCTGACAGTTGACCAAACAATTTGTGATAAGTCTGGTAGATATGTTTCCTTAAAGGGCACCCTAGGTGGTCAGGCGGTGCCATTTCTGAATATTTACTTTCCACCAGTACAGTCTAACGACTTTATTGCTCATACTTTCTCTTCCTTTTCTGATTGGGTTTGTGATAATTCT